CCTACTGAGAATGAACAAATAATGACTGTGATGATTTCACTCAATGATGTATAAGTAACTAGAATCAATGATGTATAAGTAACTAGAATCAATGATGTATAAGTAACTGGAATCAATGATGTATAAGTAACTTGAATCAATGAATGATCCAAATAAGTTTTCAGGTCCTGGTAACAAAAAATCAAAGATAACCGTGTGTGTAAGATAACTTGCCGCATGTGGCTGTAGGTAGCGCAAGCTGGCCTAATAGCCTGGTGGGCAGAGATTTGAACCCTCCACTGAGGGGCTTCAAGTCAGACCTTATCCTCGGTTAGCTGTTACATTATCAAACACACTGGATATCCCACTTCCTCAAACACACTGGATATCCCACATCCTCAAACACACTGGATATCCAATACCATTAAACACACTTTCTATATATTTGGTTAGTTGCTGGTTGCTTGTCCATCATAAACTAAAGTTGCTTGTCCATCATAAACTAAAGTTGATTGTCTGTGAGTCCAGGGAGGTAACTAAAAAGCTCAATACAGGCCCGGAAGGATCTAGGGCAATCAGGGCTAGGAACAGCATGTGTAGGTAAAGAGCCAGTTACATGGTCGGTCTTTCTAGCTGCCTTTTTAGACAGCTCACAAGACAGCACCTCTCTTCAGACAGACGTTCACCATCTTGGTTGGTCTTGGGAAGCAGCATAAGGAGGTCAGGCTTCAAGCCTGGAGGTCAAGACGTTCATTACTGTTGCAGCGACCTAATCCACACCTTTTAGTTGTTTTTCTCTCTCTTTCTCTCTTTCTCTCTGTCAAAGTTTCTAGAGAACAACTGCAAGAGAAAGAACTGTTTACTCCGTGTTAGCCACAAACATTTATGCCAGTAAACTTCACAACAGATACGTTTGGCAACTCTACATTTGCCAATGTTTAGTCAGCTGTGGAAAACATTCCTAGGCCCAATTCTGGGAAACTTGAGTTGACACATTGGAAATACAGTGCAGAGCATTCTGTAACTGCCACAGTTTCGGTGATGACGGGAACAATTGGGTGTCAGAACCAAGTACATGGGATATGGGGAACACTGCATGGCCATCACATTGTGGATGTTGAGGTGATGACGGGAACAATTGGGTGTCAGAACCAAGTACATGGGATATGGGGAACACTGCATGGCCATCACATTGTGGATGTTGAGGTGATGACGGGAACAATTGGGTGTCAGAACCAAGTACATGGGATATGGGGAACACTGCATGGCCATCACATTGTGGATGTTGAGGTGATGACGGGAACAATTGGGTGTCAGAACCAAGTACATGGGATATGGGGAACACTGCATGGCCATCACATTGTGGATGTTGAGGTGATGACGGGAACAATTGGGTGTCAGAACCAAGTACATGGGATATGGGGAACACTGCATGGCCATCACATTGTGGATGTTGAGGTGATGACGGGAACAATTGGGTGTCAGAACCAAGTACATGGAATATGGGGAACACTGCATGGCCATCACATTGTGGATGTTGAGGTGATGACGGGAACAATTGGGTGTCAGAACCAAGTACATGGGATATGGGGAACACTGCTTGGCAATCACATTGTAAATGTTGAAATGGGGCTTCACATGCTTGGCAATCACATTGTGAATGTTGAGATGGGGCTTCACATGCATGGCCATCACATTGTGAATGTTAAAATGGTGCTTCACATGCATGGCCATCACATTGTGAATGTTGAGATGGTGCTTCACATGCATGGCCATCACATTGTGAATGTTGAGATGCGGCTTCACAAACAGAGATCAATGTACCTGACATACTGGCTGGCATGCAGCAGAATATATCTGAGTGTTTTCTATGTGCATGAAAAAACCTCTGCCACCAAACATGCGTCAGCTCTCCACTGTACTATTGAAATGCATCAGCTCTTCCAATACCATCAACATGAATCAGCTCTTCACAATACCATCAACATGAATCAGCTCTTCACAATACCATCAACATGAATCAGCTCTTCACAATACCATCAACATGAATCAGCTCTTCACAATACCATCAACATGAATCAGCTCTTCACAATACCATCAACATGAATCAGCTCTTCACAATACCATCAACATGAATCAGCTCTTCACAATACCATCAACATGAATCAGCTCTTCACAATACCATCAACAAGAGTCAGCTCTTCACAATACCATCAACAAGAGTCAGCTCTTCACAATACCATCAACAAGAGTCAGCTCTACACTGTACCATCAACAAGAGTCAGCTCTTCACAGTACCATCAACAAGAGTCAGCTCTACACTGTACCATCAACAAGAGTCAGCTCTTCATTGTACCATCAACAAGAGTCAGCTCTACACTGTACCATCAACAAGAGTCAGCTCTTCACAGTACCATCAACATGAATCAGCTCTTCACTGTACCATCAACAAGAATCAGCTCTTAACTGTACCATCAACAAGAGTCAGCTCTACACTGTAACATCAACAAGAGTCAGCTCTTCATTGTACCATCAACAAGAGTCAGCTCTTCACTGTGCCATCAACAAGAGTCAGCTCTTCACTGTACCATCAACAAGAGTCAGCTCTTCACTGTACCATCAACAAGAATCAGCTCTTCACTGTACCATCAACAAGAATCAGCTCTTCACTGTACCATCAACAAGAGTCAGCTCTTTACTGTACCATCAACAAGAGTCAGCTCTTCACTGTACCATCAACAAGAGTCAGCTCTTCACTGTACCATCAACAAGAGTCAGCTCTTCACTGTACCATCAACAAGAATCAGCTCTTCACTGTACCATCAACAAGAGTCAGCTATTCACTGTACCATCAACAAGAATCAGCTCTTCACTGTACCATCAACAAGAGTCAGCTCTTCACTGTGCCATCAACAAGAGTCAGCTCTTCATTGTACCATCAACAAGAGTCAGCTCTACACTGTACCATCAACAAGAGTCAGCTCTTCACAGTACCATCAACAAGAATCAGCTCTTTACAGTACCATCAACAAGAGTCAGCTCTACACTGTACCATCAACAAGAGTCAGCTCTACACTGTACCATCAACAAGAATCAGCTCTTTACAGTACCATCAACAAGAATCAGCTCTTTACAGTACCATCAACAAGAGTCAGCTCTACACTGTACCATCAACAAGAGTCAGCTCTTCACAGTCCCATCAACAAGAGTCTGCTCTTCACTGTACCATCAACAAGAATCATCTCTTCACAGTACCATCAACAAGAATCATCTCTTCACAGTACCATCAACAAGAATCAGCTCTTCACAGTCCCATCAACAAGAATCAGCTCTTCACTGTACCATCACAAGAATCATCTCTTCACAGTACCATCAACAAGAATCATCTCTTCACAGTACCATCAACAAGAATCATCTCTTCATAGTACCATCAACAAGAATCAGCTCTTCACAGTACCATCAACAAGAGTCAGCTCTTCACAGTACCATCAACAAGAATCAGCTCTTCACAGTACCATCAACAAGAGTCAGCTCTTCACAGTACCATCAACAAGAATCAGCTCTTCACAGTACCATCAACAAGAGTCAGCTCTTCACAGTACCATCAACAAGAATCAGCTCTTCACAGTACCATCAACAAGAGTCAGCTCTTCACAGTACCATCAACAAGAATCAGCTCTTCACAGTACCATCAACAAGAGTCAGCTCTTCACAGTACCATCAACAAGAATCAGCTCTTCACAGTACCATCAACAAGAATCAGCTCTTCACAGTACCATCAACAAGAATCAGCTCTTCACAGTACCATCAACAAGAATCATCTCTTCACAGTACCATCAACAAGAATCATCTCTTCACAGTACCATCAACAAGAATCATCTCTTCACAGTACCATCAACAAGAATCATCTCTTTACAGTACCATCAACAAGAATCATCTCTTCACAGTACCATCAACAAGAGTCAGCTCTTCACAGTACCATCAACAAGAATCATCTCTTCACAGTACCATCAACAAGAATCAGCTCTTCACAGTACCATCAACAAGAATCAGCTCTTCATTGTGCTATGTTTCTTAACTAAAGTGGATATTTTGAGGATGACTGCTCCATTAAAACACAACACTCATCGTTTGTATGCTCCTCTGGCATAGATCATCAATTTTGTTGAAAGTTATGGGTCAGTAAACATCTGTTTTCATTTATTACCTGTCATTGAAATCTCAGTCAGTCTGTCACCCCTGCTATCTCAGTCAGTCTGTCACCCCTGCTATCTCAGACAGTCTGTCACCCCTGCTATCTCAGACAGTCTGTCACCCCTGCTATCTCAGACAGTCTGTAACCCCTGCTATCTCAGTCAGTCTGTCACCCCTGCTATCTCAGACAGTTTGTCACCCCTGCTATCTCAGTCAGTCTGTCACCCCTGCTATCTCAGACAGTCTGTCACCCCTGCTATCTCAGACAGTCTGTCACCCCTGCTATCTCAGTCAGTCTGTCACCCCTGCTATCTCAGACAGTCTGTCACCCCTGCTATCTCAGTCAGTCTGTCACCCCTGCTATCTCAGACAGTCTGTCACCCCTGCTATCTCAGACAGTCTGTCACCCCTGCTATCTCAGTCAGTCTGTCACCCCTGCTATCTCAGACAGTCTGTCACCCTTACTATCTTTGTACTAAAGACACAAGAAATCCACATTCAATATTGTCTGCCTCACAGCAGACACTGACAGTTACCTCATGATCACACATGAGACATTTGTGTTTCACACAGCCTATCATACAGCCTATCACACAAGCAATCAACACATACACTCACTGGTCAGAAATACAAGCAAACGGTTAGATATCATGACAGTCCACATATCCCAAACTCAGGAAACCATACGTTTAATCAGCCAGTACAAACACACATCAATCATCAACAAAAGTTCAGAGGCAGCAACACTTAACACTGACAATTGCTAATCTCTCAGTTGCTAAAACATGAACCAAACTAATAAATACCAAACACTGGCTATCTCAATTTCATCTTGTGAATTTTTTAAAAATATTTTTGCTTTTGTTGAGGAAACCTCCTTTTTTCTTTGGTTTTTCATCATCGGCTGGACTCAAGGTTCCAGCTCTAGAGCCTTCTGATTTGATTTCAGAGAAGTTGACACTGAGAGACTGCTTGTTTGAGTCTGCACTCGCTGGAAGCTGCTGGCCTATTTTGGGGACCTGTGGGGAAAACAGACAAATTCTGTCAGCAAAACTGGAATGATTACAATTGTAACATTTGTTTAAAATGTAAACATTATTAGAAGTTAAAACACAGGACGGGCTCAACTTTAGGACTGTCGGACATTCAATATTCTGTGCACTGAATGGTGACTGGAATGAACTTGCCCTAAATTGACTAAATCCACATGATGGAGCTGTAAAATCTCCTCAAATCCACATGATGGGGCTGTAAAATCTCCTCAAATCCACATGATGGGGCTGTAAAATCTCCTCAAATCCACATGATGGGGCTGTAAAATCTCCTCAAATCCACATGATGGGGCTGTAAAATCTCCTCAAATCCACATGATGGGGCTGTAAAATCTCCTCAAATCCAAATGATGGGGCTGTAAAATCTCCTCAAATCCACATGATGGGGCTGTAAAATCTCCTCAAATCCAAATGATGGGGCTGTAAAATCTCCTCAAATCCACATGATGGGGCTGTAAAATCTCCTCAAATCCACATGATGGGGCTGTAAAATCTCCTCAAATCCAAATGATGGGGCTGTAAAATCTCCTCAAATCCAAATGATGGGGCTGTAAAATCTCCTCAAATCCAAATGATGGGGCTGTAAAATCTCCTCAAATCCACATGATGGGGCTGTAAAATCTCCTCAAATCCACATGATGGGGCTGTAAAATCTCCTCAAATCAACATAATGGGGCTGTAAAATCTCCTCAAATCCACATGATGGGGCTGTAAAATCTTCTCAAATCCACATGATGGGGCTGTAAAATCTCCTCAAATCCAAATGATGGGGCTGTAAAATCTCCTCAAATCCACATGATGGGGCTGTAAAATCTCCTCAAATCCACATGATGGGGCTGTAAAATCTCCTCAAATCCACATGATGGGGCTGTAAAATCTCCTCAAATCCACATGATGGGGCTGTAAAATCTCCTCAAATCCACATGATGGGGCTGTAAAATCTCCTCAAATCCACATGATGGGGCTGTAAAATCTCCTCAAATCCACATGATGGGGCTGTAAAATCTCCTCAAATCCACATGATGGGGCTGTAAAATCTCCTCAAATCCACATGATGGGGCTGTAAAATCTCCTCAAATAACTAAACTACACATGAAGTGGCTCCACCTGTTGGTACTTTACACATGTAGAGTAAAATACATAGCTCAGATTGCATGCATGTATTGTTACAATATTCCTCATAATCTGTGTGCTCACAAATGGTCGAGTTCTCTGATAGCGGTAAAAGCTTCAAACATTTATTTCCAACCATGTCCCAAAAGGTACTCCCATACAGAAAGGTGTTCCTCTACTGCCTCAGAAAGACAATAAAAACACTGAGATCTCCACTTCAATCAAAGAACCATATTGCCCCCAAGTATAAGGTTCACTTATTTGCCAAAAATACAGCATCTGAAAATAGTGTGCATCTGAAACAATGGTCATAGATTTCTACTCAATGATCTGGTAGGAAATATGTTATTCAGGACTTCATTTTGGGAATGCCGGCTATGGGGTGACATAAAACAGAAAACAAAAATTATATATTAAAAAAAGCTTGTTCCTACTGTAATAGTTTTTGTGCTTGTCTTCCCAATTACTGTCTAGCACTTGTTACATCGGATTACATTTTGCTCACAAATGTCTCAGATTGTCATACAGTGCTGAATTCAAGTTGAAAGTGATCCAGCTTGCAAAAGTGAACACACGACCTAATGAGGCACTGTCAGGGTGTGTTTTTGGCTGCCATTATATGTGGCCGTTATTCAGAGGATAGCCTCATACTTATATAATCAGTGATGTCTGCTTGTTTTAGTAAATGCTCAATTTTCAAGATATGTATATTAGTATGGCTATTCTACTGATACGCAGCCTTATTAAATGTTGTGATTTTGAGGACATACTGTCAGAGAAAACTTCACCTCTGGAAGCTGTTTTGTCAACACATTTATAACTGCATATTGCTGTCCGATTTGGTGTGCATTTATAACTGCATTTTGCTGTCCGATTTGGTGTGCATTTATAACTGCATATTGCTGTCCAATTTGGTGTGCATTTATAACTGCATATTGCTGTCCGATTTGGTGTGCATTTATAACTGCATATTGCTGTCCGATTTGGTGTGCATTTATAAATGCATATTGCTGTCCGATTTGGTGTGCATTTATAACTGCATTTTGCTGTCCGATTTGGTGTGCATTTATAACTGCATTTTGCTGTCCGATTTGGTGTGCATTTATAACTGCATATTGCTGTCCGATTTGGTGTGCATTTATAACTGCATATTGCTGTCCGATTTGGTGTGCATTTATAACTGCATATTGCTGTCCGATTTGGTGTGCATTTATAACTGCATATTGCTGTCCGATTTGGTGTGCATTTATAACTGCATATTGCTGTCCGATTTGGTGTGCATTTATAACTGCATTTTGCTGTCCGATTTGGTGTGCATTTATAACTGCATATTGCTGTCCGATTTGGTGTGCATTTATAACTGCATATTGCTGTCCGATTTGGTGTGCATTTATAACTGCATATTGCTGTCCGATTTGGTGTGCATTTATAACTGCATATTGCTGTCCGATTTGGTGTGCATTTATAAGTGCATTTTGCTGTCCTAGTTTGAGAAAATATGCAGCATCACACCATCACCATGGAGAACAGAAGATGGAAGACCATGCATCTGGACTGGACAGTAGCCACAAGTGGAAGCTATGTAAATGACCATGCTACAAGAACAGAAGATGGAAGACCATGCATCTGGACTGGACAGTAGCCACAAGTGGAAGCTATGTAAATGACCATGCTACAAGAACAGAAGATGGAAGACCATGCATCTGGACTGGACAGTAGCCACAAGTGGAAGCTATGTAAATGACCATGCTACAAGAACAGAAGATGGAAGACCATGCATCTGGACTGGACAGTAGCCACAAGTGGAAGCTATGTAAATGACCATGCTACGAGAACAGAAGATGGAAGACCATGCATCTGGACTGGACAGTAGCCACACGTGGAAGCTTGGTAAATGACCATGCTACGAGAACAGAAGATGGAAGACCATGCATCTGGACTGGACAGTAGCCACAAGTGGAAGCTATGTAAATGACCATGCTACGAGAACAGAAGATGGAAGACCATGCATCTGGACTGGACAGTAGCCACAAGTGGAAGCTATGTAAATGACCATGCTACGAGAACAGAAGATGGAAGACCATGCATCTGGACTGGACAGTAGCCACAAGTGGAAGCTTGGTAAATGACCATGCTACGAGAACAGAAGATGGAAGACCATGCATCTGGACTGGACAGTAGCCACAAGTGGAAGCTATGTAAATGACCATGCTACGAGAACAGAAGATGGAAGACCATGCATCTGGACTGGACAGTAGCCACACGTGGAAGCTATGTAAATGACCATGCTACGAGAACAGAAGATGGAAGACCATGCATCTGGACTGGACAGTAGCCACAAGTGGAAGCTATGTAAATGACCATGCTACGAGAACAGAAGATGGAAGACCATGCATCTGGACTGGACAGTAGCCACAAGTGGAAGCTATGTAAATGACCATGCTACGAGAACAGAAGATGGAAGACCATGCATCTGGACTGGACAGTAGCCACAAGTGGAAGCTTGGTAAATGACCATGCTACGAGAACAGAAGATGGAAGACCATGCATCTGGACTGGACAGTAGCCACAAGTGGAAGCTATGTAAATGACCATGCTACGAGAACAGAAGATGGAAGACCATGCATCTGGACTGGACAGTAGCCACACGTGGAAGCTATGTAAATGACCATGCTACGAGAACAGAAGATGGAAGACCATGCATCTGGACTGGACAGTAGCCACAAGTGGAAGCTATGTAAATGACCATGCTACGAGAACAGAAGATGGAAGACCATGCATCTGGACTGGACAGTAGCCACAAGTGGAAGCTATGTAAATGACCATGCTACGAGAACAGAAGATGGAAGACCATGCATCTGGACTGGACAGTAGCCACAAGTGGAAGCTATGTAAATGACCATGCTACGAGAACAGAAGATGGAAGACCATGCATCTGGACTGGACAGTAGCCACAAGTGGAAGCTATGTAAATGACCATGCTACAAGAACAGAAGATGGAAGACCATGCATCTGGACTGGACAGTAGCCACAAGTGGAAGCTATGTAAATGACCATGCTACGAGAACAGAAGATGGAAGACCATGCATCTGGACTGGACAGTAGCCACAAGTGGAAGCTATGTAAATGACCATGCTACAAGAACAGAAGATGGAAGACCATGCATCTGGACTGGACAGTAGCCACAAGTGGAAGCTATGTAAATGACCATGCTACGAGAACAGAAGATGGAAGACCATGCATCTGGACTGGACAGTAGCCACAAGTGGAAGCTATGTAAATGACCATGCTACAAGAACAGAAGATGGAAGACCATGCATCTGGACTGGACAGTAGCCACAAGTGGAAGCTATGTAAATGACCATGCTACGAGAACAGAAGATGGAAGACCATGCATCTGGACTGGACAGTAGCCACAAGTGGAAGCTATGTAAATGACCATGCTACAAGAACAGAAGATGGAAGACCATGCATCTGGACTGGACAGTAGCCACAAGTGGAAGCTATGTAAATGACCATGCTACAAGAACAGAAGATGGAAGACCATGCATCTGGACTGGACAGTAGCCACAAGTGGAAGCTATGTAAATGACCATGCTACGAGAACAGAAGATGGAAGACCATGCATCTGGACTGGACAGTAGCCACAAGTGGAAGCTATGTAAATGACCATGCTACAAGAACAGAAGATGGAAGACCATGCATCTGGACTGGACAGTAGCCACAAGTGGAAGCTATGTAAATGACCATGCTACAAGAACAGAAGATGGAAGACCATGCATCTGGACTGGACAGTAGCCACAAGTGGAAGCTATGTAAATGACCATGCTACGAGAACAGAAGATGGAAGACCATGCATCTGGACTGGACAGTAGCCACAAGTGGAAG